AGAACCAAGAGATTTGTAATACAACATCTGCTCCAGCCCAATAAACGTCATGGGTAAGGAAGGGGGAGTAAACTTCCTGATTAAATGCCCTCCGCAATTCTCTGCGATTAGAGCGATAAGTCTTCGTAAATAAATTGGTGGACATGGCATCTCAAGCCTTGCGGATAGATATGTAGTTAAAGCAGTTCAAGGCTTTTTCATTTAAATTGATTATTATATGATTAGAGAAATAGAAGTTCAAATAGTTCAAAATTATGTATTTAGTCCGGAAATTTGTCACGCATACTGTACATTGCTATTTCTAAATTACTGTATCGCAAATTGTATTGAGAAACTTCCACTTACGTTCTTGGAATATCAATAATAATGACTAGCAACAGATTAAATGAAGTTTATAGATTGTTCACTTCAATGATTACACCAACGCTTACAAGGTCAAATCATTGATTATTTTTAACTGTGTTCAATACGACATTTATATTCTGAGCTGACGATGTATGTAGAAAATCTAATAAAAGTTTTTTTTTTATCTTACTTTCGTAAAAACAAAACTTTGGCTGTCTTATCAATGAGTCCCGTTTACGTATTGTCCATTTTTATACAAAAAGCAAAATATACACAAAACGTTAAAAACACATGTAATTTTTGTCAAATAATAAATGTCAAAATGTCTTTCATACTGGTTTAAAAAAAAATTCATACACTCATTCAAATATACAAATATATTTGATAAATATTTTATAATATATATTTAATGATAATGACAACTATTTCTATTTTGAAAAAACTAAGAAAAATTAATTTAAATTCTATTTAAAGTTAATTGCCTTTGATTTAATTTAGATTTTATTTTAAATTTCTCTAGTGAGTAGTGATTGTAATTAATTATAGTAATAGTAGTTATTGAAATTTTTAAAAAATAAGAATAAAAAGTTTTTTAACTTTTAATGAAAGTTAAAAAAGTTTTAAGATCGTAGTACAATCTTTGTTGTATAAATGCGGTAAGTCAAAATGGCACCTTTGCGTTGAAAAAGGAAAATTTTAAAATGTAGTTTGTAAGCTGTAATCAAAATGAATTACTCTCTTAAAAGTTGACTGGATAAATTTTTAATAACTGTTCCAACTATCAAATAGTAATTACAACTAGAGGCGATCAGGGTCGTTCCCAACGGAGGAGTAAGGGGTGTCCCACCTGCCTAAGCTGTTATATATGCATTTAAGTTAGCACATTTAGCATTTGAGTTAGCAAGTTTTGAAGTATAGTTGGCAAATATATTAAAAGACACCCCCTCCCCTCATGAGAGACCTCATCGGGACGGCTCTGGACGAATAAAATGAGGGGATAGGGGGTGAACCTTTCAAAAGTACTGACTAATTCCTAACATAATATATGTAATGCGTAATTAATATATGTAATTAATATATGTAATATGTACATACACATAAACTGCATAAAATTGAATGATGACAAAACCGAGTTCCTGCTCACCGGAAAAAAGTTAAATCACTCCTAGATGTTTCAAAATATAGAAAAAATTATATTTATACCTTATTTTTTATTGAAGATATATCAATTATTATTCAACAAAACAAGCTAAACTTATTTATTCGCCTAATAAACAATAAAATGACATATGATATTATTAAGTCGCAGATGAAAGACAAAACAGCCCCACAACATTTTTTAGATAGTATCAAAGAGTTGTGCAATAATCATGAACTAAATCTGGAGACAATAATGGAAAGTAAAAAAAAATAAAAATCATTGGCCTCAAAAATTTAATTCCTGAGACGGATCTTCAAACTCTAAAATGTGCAGTTGAGCGCTGGAACTTAAAAGAGCAGAGAACTATCTTCAAGGACATTTTTGAAAAACATATTCCTAGATGATCACGTTAAAAAAAAAAAAAAAATTTAAAGATTTATATTTATCTTGTATGAAACTCTTAATTTACCTTACTTGTAGAGTGGGTGTTTAATAAATCTAAATAAAAATAAAATAAAAAAAAAATAAAAGTAAAATAAAAAAAATAAAATAAACTCAAATTTACCAGACTAGCCACTAAATTCGTAAAAAAAACGACTAAAACTTAAAAATCACCTTCTTCGGGGCGGGTGGATCTCTTATTTTTTTTTTGTTATTTAGGTGTCCTTTTGGTCTTGTCACAGAGCACTGCGGAAGTGTATTTAAAAATACTTCCAATTCTTACTTAGACATTTATTAATTCATTTTTATTCTAGAAATTTATTATTAGTCGTTCAAAACGCACAACATAAAAAATAACAATAAACTAACTCTTTTTACTATGTTGTTCTCGAATTTAAACTGTTTTTTATTTGCAATGCTTTTTTAAAAGCAAATTTTTTATTTGCAAATTTTTAATGCTTTTTTAAATGCATTGTGATGCTTATGATGTTTTGAAACAATATCATTGAATAATTTTTATTTAAAGTGGAATGTGATTGGTTAACTTTAAATTATATTAAACAACTACGCGGTGTTTTAGTTTCCACTCATCCGTTTTTCTACGGGAACGGGATAGGAAAGGGAAAAATAATCACTTGAGCATGCGCAGTTTTACTTCGGACATATCAAAACTTATACGCATGCCCACGTGATTATTTTTCCCGTTTCCGTGAAAAAACGGATGAGTGGAAACTCACCTTTACATTTATGACTGTTTCTTGAAAAATTACGTATTTAACTTCGTTCTCCCTACAGTCTATTATACCTCCTTGGTATATATAAGTGGAGATATTCCATGCGTCATTTTAAACATAAAAAACAGTTTTTGGTAAATTTTTAGTTTATGCATGTTTATGGCCGTGAGGAGATTTAAAAGTGTTTTTTTTTTAGTGTTTTTTTTTTTCAAGGTGCTCCAAGAAGATCTATCGGTCTTATCATAAAGCACCGCGGAAAAGCATTTAACCAGAAAGTTCACGCCTCCTTCCTTACCCACGTCGCTTCTTAAGCTATAGCTGAATTCAAACAACAAAACTCTTGGTTCTGAGTCAGAACTCTAATCACTGCACCATGGCTACTTATTGGTTCGCAACACACTTTGTTGAATTTAGGCAAAATAATTGGTTCGCAACACACATAGTTCAGTTTGCGCAAAATACAATCCTTAAAGCATGCTTTTGTTTATTGTAAAGTCTTTTTAGCTTATCGTAATTCGTATGCAATATTGGAGAATTGCAATATTGCATACGCAATATTGCAGTAATATTGCAATATAGTAATATTGTAATATATAATACAGTAATATTGCAGTATTGCAATACTGCCTATGCAATACTGCAATGAAAAAGATAGCTATAAATACATGAAAAATAAATTTTTAATAGAGCTTTAGTATTAAAAACTCTTTATATACATATATATATATATATATATATATATATATATATATATATATATATATATATATATATAATATATATATATATATATATATATCGTCACATTAGAATTATATGGTTCTATCTGCCTTTTTTTATGTTGTAAGAACTTAACTTTCAATATTTATTTAATACATGTTTTACAGCTGTTATTCATTATAATATATAATATATAGCTGTTACTCATTATAAATTATAAGTTGAAAAATGATATATTATATATATACTTAAAAAATGATATATAAAACTTTGGTTGTTAAATTCTTTCAACATAAAACAAGGCAGATAGAACCCTATAATTCTCATGCGACGATATATATATATATATATATATATATATATATATATATATATATATATATTATATATATATATATATATATATATATATATATATATATATATATATATATATAGTACGGAAATATTATTTAAGATTTTACTTTTAATGGATTGGAAAGTTCCACTTTCGTGACAAGTTCTCATTTAGAATTACTCCTAAAAATTAACGGTAGATTTCCTTTTAACAACTGTTTTAATAAATAAAAAACTAGGCAGTTTTTTATTTAATAAAATAAATTTCATTAGGTTTGTCAAACAAGATGAATTTGTTTTATCTACATTCTCTGAAAGACGGTTATTTGTAAATCACTCATTTACTTCAGATAATTCTTCATTTGGAATTAAAAAAAAAAAAAATTTTTTTGTCAGCGAAAAAAAATTTTTTTTGTCAGCGACCAATGTAAGATAAAATATTTTAGATAAAAATAAGTCACTTATATGCATTAAAAATATTAATGGTCCTAGGATGGAACCTTTTTGCAGTGCTACGCTAACGTGTAATGACAATTATTGCATAAGTGCAATAATTGTCATTACACGTTAGCGTAGCAACTTATATCACAATGTTATTGAGAACACGGGTAAAATGTAATTTTGCAACGTGTAAGATGCGGGAATAAAATGCGGAAAATTTCTCCAAACCCTAACCCTACTCTTTTGCATATTCTCCCTAAATCAGTTGATGCATGTAATAAACCCACTAACCCTATTTACTAATTCAAGTAGTAATTTATTGTTTCATTTAATAGCTGAATCATCGTACTTTGCATTAAAACAACACGACATCATGTTTGTCACCCAATAAAACTGTATATTATTTATGAATTAATGCGGTTTGTTTAAATTTTTAGATAAAAATAAAAATTACTATTTGAAGTATTATTCAAGAATAAAAGCTAAAAAAAAATAATCTGAAAAAGAGTTAGCATTTCTTATTTATATAAAAGTACAAATCGTTAATGTTGATATGATTATATAAAAAATTGTAAAAATAGATTATGGTTAAGGCACTTATGCATTAAAGGGTTAATGTTATGTACATTTATACTATTTTTTACTCTGATAGCCTTTTATTATTTATAATGGCAAGTAGCTAGTATTTAATTCTAAGCCTAACCGAAAAATTGTAACTTTTTGTAATCAAATTTGGTAAAAATTGTAAAAATATTTTTGTATATTCACATAAAATATACAACTTTATGTAACATAGTTTGTATATGGTTCTTTATAAAAATTTATATAAAACAAATTTCACGTTTACTACCCATAACTTTATTTCCAATGAATTATTATAAACTACGTTTTTATTAAAAATATAACCATAAAGTTAAAAAGACACAAAGAAAAATCTACTCAATTTTATATAAATAAGAAAAGGGTTTAAAATTAATTTAAAATATAAAAAAAGCATTAGCCTACTTACTTTATGAAAAATATAATGAAATAAAATATAAAGTCCGATCTTCACAACTTTAAAATATTATCCCCACAGTATAAAAATTGGTTCAAACAAAATAAAATTTAAGAATAATTTATAAAAAAGTTAAGGTTATATTTATTAAAATAGAATTAAAATAGCATTTATTAAATGTTATGATATTTTTGTATATATTATTATCGTAAAATAATAATAATAAAAAATAACTAATTATAAATAACTAGCTATTGAAAATAAGCTCCTCGTTTCTCGCAAGTTTTTCTAATAAAATCAATATGGCTTGCGTACAAATCTAACTTTCTATCGATTGCTAACCATTTCACAGCTTTTGCATCATCACCTGCTGTCAAAGGAATTTTACCAACACAAGTACCCTTTTCATCGTGGAAATTGACGGCAACAGTTTCCATCCAAGCATTGTCAGTATTTCGGGGATCATCCACATAACCATTATAGATCTAACGATAAAGTTTAATTTTTAACTCAGCAATAAATGCAATTATAAAATAATCAATAAATATGAGTATAAAAAAGTTCTTACATTTTCACCATGATGGAATAAATCATCTATAAGCTTCTTAACAGCTTCTTTTTGGTCGAGTTCAATGCTATTTAATGCTTCTTCACCAAATTCTCTTTTTAATGTTAAGGAGATGTTTTCTCCAGCATCTACCATCCCCTGAAATTTTTTAAAGAAAAACTTCACATTTTACATCAACAACAACAAGTCTCACATACAGCTGAGATAAATGTATATAAAACAAATTTATAATCGATTATAACATTTGATATTATTACGCCGAATGTATTTTTGCATAAAACATTTTTAGCAGGGAAAAACAAGTTGAAAAATGAATTTAATTATCTATTTTATTTGTCATATTGCATTTTTTTTTTTTTTTTTCAAACTAGTTTTTTTTTTTTTTTTTTTGAAATTGTAAACAGTAAAAATTTATTTAAAAATCAAAAATACCTAAGAATATTTAATTTTTAAGTAGTTAGTTGAAAAAAGTACTCGTTTTGGTACGTATGAAATATGGAAACATTGTGCGAGGTATACATGTTGGTACACATGAAATAAAGTATGCATGTTCAAAAGTGATTTTTAAGGAAAACCTTTATCTTTTTTTTACAACATTTTAAACTTGCTTTCTTGCAGGTTTGTTTATTTTTTTGGTGTCCGCGCAAAACAAACACAAAGTCAGCGGTAATAATAAAAGAAATCGTTAAAAAAAGTAATTAAAACAAACAATTAACAACAAACTTTTAGCGTTTTAGTTCAGCGTAAATAATTAGAACCGCTGAATAATGCAAAAAAATATATAATCAATATATAAAATATATAACGACTGTATAAATATATTCAGTCATTGACTTTAATGGATATTTCAGGTTGTGTACATACACAAAGTCCTTGGGTCCAGTGAAACTATTTCACTGGACCCAAGGACTTTTTTGTCCATTTTTAAAATGTTGTTTTTAAAAAGATTTATATATATATATTTTTCTTTTTTTCATTTAAAAATACATATAATACAGTTAAACTTATAGTAGAACTTGACTCTATATTTGATTGCAGATGTTTTATTTTTTTGAAGGAATTTAACTTTTTTAGACAAAAGAAGCATACAAAAAGAAACTTCAACTAGTATCCTAATTTCGGTCAACAAATAAGGCATTTAATTCAGAAAGAATTAAAAAAACATTGAACGACATGTGCAAGACTTTGTCAGCGCCAGGCATCTCTCAAATTTTTCCCAAAGACACAATAACAAGTAATAATAAACAAAGTAAAGCAACAAATTTTTCCCTGCCCATAAGAAACAACTTTGAACAAAAAAAACATATTAAAGACCTGACACAACATTCAACATAGGAAATGTACTTAGGTACATAGGAAAGGTTAAAGAATATAATACAGAGCACATAGGAAAGTACATACAAAAAGTATATAGGAAAGGTTACAAACAAGGTTACAACAAAGTACAAACAAGGTTATAAAAAAGGTTACAAACAAAAGTTATAACAAAGTACACAGGAAATGTTAAAAAATTTTAAAGTTTGAAAAAAAGAGACCACTAGTCATTACAATATTCCAAATATAGAGTATTGATAATAAAGAGTAAGTGTTCAAAGTATTAAACTATGACAGTATATTCTGTCGCTACAATTTAAATCATGATTTTGAATTTTAGTTAAGGAAATTACAACAATGTTCTGAACATGCTTTAAAATATGCTCTTTGGAAATAATTACTTAACAATGATTTAAAAGGTATCTGACATCAGTTGTTTTTGATGACTGGGTAATTCTAGTTAAAAACTTGTTACTTAAAGAATAGAATGCTCCAAAAAAACTGAAAAGCTTGATAGCTAAGTCAAAAGTATGAAAAATCTTTGAATTGGCTTCTTGACTTAGCTGTTCCCCACAGTGGCTTTTGCAGGAATGATTGACAACATATCTTAACACAACAGATAATTAAGGATTCAACTATCATCTACTGCCACTGCTAAAACATAATTGTATTTTATAAAAAAAAATTTGAAGATAAGAGCCTAGCCATCTTTAAACATCAAGGCAAAACATCAATAAAAATAACCCAAAAGAATCTTGCGCCTGAACTCAAGGTTTTTCCAGTAAGAAGTACTTTATATACACTTACTAAAGCGTATTTTTATAAGGATTTGCTCACTTTTTTTGCTTACCTTAACCCATACGGCTTTTTTAGAAAAAGAAGAAAAAAAACGAAGAATGATGAGTTAAACGATTGCTGCCCCATCCCAAACCCTCAGTCGATGTAGCAGCACTCCACTGCGAGTCAGGCTATTTGTCAGTCGATGTATGTACTGAAGCCCCCAGCAGCAAGCTATTTCAGTATGACGTCAGATTGCTTACCTTAGTACGCAATACTATTTGTTACCAAACAAATGTTTATAATGAACTGTAATATATATATATATATATATATATATATATATATATATATATATATATATATATATATATATATACATATACACACATACAGCCCTTGGAATTAGAAAAAATGAAGTCAGCAAAAAATTGCTGACCTTAAACTATTAGAGATCGGCATAAGGTCGGTAAAAAAAAAAAGACGCACAAGTCTTACCATAAAACATAGAAAAAGTCGACAACTTTTTGCTGACCTCAAACACTTTAAAGTTTTAAAACTCTAATTCCGAGAGCTGTATATATACACAATCTAATAGTCTAATAAATATAACAACTTTTTTCAGTTTGAAAAACATGTTTCAATTATACAAAAATCATTTTGATGTATAAAACTGTTAAATACAAAAACTATTAAATATTTAGTGAAAACAAACATTAATTTTATTTTTATTTGTTACTTAAAAGAAAACATAAAAGGTGTGAAACCCTACGTCATAGAATAATGAAAAATGTAGATAATTAGTGTAATACATACATCATAGAGTAATAGTAAATATCAATTAGAACTGGAGTGAGAGTGTGTAATTAAAAACCTGTTTATTAAGATTGGGTTTTTACAATATAATGTGTAATGCTTCTTTAATTTTTAACAGCTGCGAAGTCTGGGCGTAGTCTATTGAAAAAGAGTCTCTATTGGCTACATTACTGCTCTTCCAACAGCACCTATGTTGCTAAGAGAACTGGTGCTAAACTTGCATAGGTAGAGTCCATATGTAAGCTTAGGTACTGTTAAAGAGTTATATAGATGAACAATTGTTGACAGCTGGCAAAAATGAATTCCACTGTCAATTAGAGCTATCGCAACCAATTGAAACTGAGTTATACACTCATTTAAGTTTGTTTTTTGTTGTGTTGCAATGTTCTTATTGGTATCATTATCCCATTGAAAACCTAGATGTTTTAACTTATTTTGAAGATATATTCGAAGTTCTGTTAATTTGAATAGCATTGTTTGAAATAGGATTCGTTCCAGAAATAAGAAATTCCATTTTCTCAGTGTTTACCTTGATAAAGTTAGCCACTCCATAGGTTGAAAATCTTCAATCAGTTCTTGAAGATCAGAAATTGTAGGACCAAGCAAGATTACATCATCTGCATATGCAATGATACCTGTATATATATAATTTACTGTCAATCCTACTTTGCATTCTGAAACCATTTCATTTAGAATGCTTTAAGTATAAATGTTATATAGATGAGGCAATAGAATAGAACCTAGCCTCCTTGTGAATGACTAAATTGATCCTTGTGAATGACTAAATTGATTTAAGATAAGTTCTTGATATGATATGTTTGCAGTATCGGATAAATAAAATGATGAAATTCTGTGTACTACAGACAGTGAAAGTTTTTTTGGAAATCGAGCTTCTCAAATAGTTGCAAGCTTCCACTTGCAAGTATCAAAAGCTTTATTGGCATATATAGATATATTAGTTATTACCTTTATAGTGCTGTATAGTTTCACTCAATAGAAACTCTGTGTGGAGAGTAGAGCTGTTTTTTTAAAACCAAAACTCGTGGGAATGGCTATCTGTTATATAAGATAAGATATTCTAGAAGTTTAGTAAGGTGGAAAAATATATATTCCGTGGAAATTATTTGGATCATTAAGAGATTTTTTATATGACTTAAGAAGTGGAATAATTGTTGAAGCTGATAGGTCTTTTGGAACATTTCCATTGGTTCAGAATACTCTTATAAAATTTAGAGCCACAAAAGGAGATTGTTTTTACGAGAGTTTTTAAGGTGTTTAGCACTTATCCCATAGCTATCTGATGCTATTTATAATATCAGCTGTTGTAATAACTAATGAATTAGGTTTGCTATTTAGAGGTGAAATTTGAATTGGGTTTTGGTTGTTACTTATAATAAGCGGTATATTGTGTAGAATTTGAAAATGTTGACAGAGTTCCTTAATGATATATCTATTATTTTTTGCCATTTATTAATTGAAAATAATCGAGTACTTGGTTTTGTTTTGAATTTACTAATGTTGTCCCAGAACTTTTGAGAATTTATAGTTCTCAGATTTTCAATAATTGTTTTTTCACGGACCTTTTTGTTTTGGGCTGCTTTAACCGCTTTACAAAAGTTTTTTACGTGCTAGGATGTATCTTTTGCACTCCATGCATTCTTGCATCTTATTATATTTTGGTTTTTGCTATTGTTTATAGTTAAATGAAAGATTTTTTTTGCAAATTTTAAGTTCCGTTGTCCACCACGATTTAGAATACTTACAGGCTATGTGTTGTTCAAAGCACTCTTTAAAAGCTACTTGAGCAGCATTTTAAATTTGTTTGCATGTTTGCATTAACTTTTGTTCGTTTTTTTCTTCATTGAAAGTGTAGTTATTGAAAGCTAAGGGTAGATTTTGATTATATATTTTAATAAAATTTTTGTTATTCCATGCATATATTGGTATATTGGTATATTGTATTTTTATGTTATGCTATTTAATACGGTTGATAATTTAGTATGTGTAATGGTGATACTCATAGATATTTGTAAGTGATCACTTAAGTTAAATGGCCAAGGAGGAACAACTTTGGTATTTATAAAGGATAGTGATGACTCCTTTAGTGCTGTGAGGTGATCAATATAAGATGAATTAGAAAGTCTTATGCTGATAAGTGTCTTGGACCAGTGCCACTGATTATATTGATAAGCGAGAGTTTATTTGATTTAATGAAAGTAGAGAGAGGCTTAGAAAATTATTGCATGATTTGTTAATATGATACTCAGAGTTGTAGTATATTTAACTTTTTTGGCTTAAGCAAATGAAAGCGCAATGGTATATATTTTTTAATAAATGGTACTTGGAAACTTAAATCGTTGTTTGTCACAAAATAAAAAGCGCTGGTAGAGTAATTAACTTGAACTTTTTTTTTGCAACAAGTAATATTTTTTGTTTGTTAATAACTTTTTAAAAGTATCATTATTTGCTAAGCCGCAATTTTAAGAAATAAAGAAAAAAAATTAACATATTTTAATTCATTTATACAAATGTTGAGAATTAAAAAGAAATTAATTTATCTTAAATGATAATAAAAATATTAAATTTAATTATTTATTCTTGAAAAAAAAAAAAAGAAACAAAGTAGACATTCCACAATATGTACAGGCTTGGTCGGGAAGCGGGTGAGATCACACTCGATAACTGACCACGGAAATAATATTTAGTTGCGAAAAACCGGCTAGATTTTTTAGTTGTTTTGAGAACATTTAAATTTATGTATGTTTCCTTGTTTGTCCACAAAATAATAACTTCATTTAATCGTAAATTTTAAAATATTTTGTTTTACGGACTTACATGGAAACATACATAAACTTGAATGTTCTCAAACATGCGGAAAAATAAAAATTTCTAGAGTATTTAAAAAATACTAACCGGATGTCCTGAGTATTCTGTTAAAATATTTTTAAAAATTGTATTATTTGAACTTTGTTACGTTTGCGTTGAGATTTATAGCATAAATTATTTTTATATATACTATCAAACGAACTATCATTTCAATTCTTGGAGCCACATCTACAAAGCTATAAATGTTTCAAACTAACATTATTTGTTTACAATAATAAATGTTTTAAATTTAAATTTTTTAACTTATCAACGTTTTGTAAATATATTATAGATTTTATTAGTATATTCTTATTTTTTATATATAAGGGATTTATTTTTTATGTATTTAATGTATTAAAATTATAAAGCCCACTCACTAAACATCATCAGCGGTATTGTGAAACAGTTCCGCCTCCTCCTCACAAAGTAATTATACGTTTTTAGTTAATTTCTATCTAGCTAATTGAATTTCTGCAATAACTCAATGATTTAATTAATTCATTTGTTCATCTTACTAAGAAGAATTGTTTTATTTTTTTTATTTTTTTATTTTAATTCACCTCCTCAAGGCCGAGAAGGCCACTACAGACGAGGAGGCTACTTATTTGTGGTTATAACCCTCTCTCAACTCTATAACTCCGAAACACGAACCTTGACGAGCAAGGCCGCTGCGCGGAGAAACGAGTTTCAAATGTGTTTAACTTTTTAAACTACGTGAAGCTTAAAACAGTTATTGAAAAAACTTTTTTTATTTATAAATAAATAATCTAGCGTTAGTTTTATTGGTTGAATCTTGTTGGAATTTTCAGGGGCTGCATTATTTTGGTGGCCTTTTTTATGTGCCACAGCGTAAAAATGACTAAAAAAAAATACCGAATGGTCCTCTTGACTATTTCCCCTAACATTGTGAGTCCTGGAACTATAGCCCTACTACCCCCACCCCACCTCCTCAATCCAGCACTGGAAATAAGACATAATTATATAAATAAAAATTATATATACTCTTTGATAAATCGAAGAACATTTGTTTCTTTATAGTTGTTACTGTATATAAAAAATGTCACTTAATTTTATAAAAAAATTATAAAAGGGCGACGTTTTAAAAATAATTGCTCTAATAAATTTATTTTCCTTAAAGTTTTTTTCTGTTAAAAACTATTTTTCTTTTTTTAACTGTCTCTCATTGAAGCAGTTGATCTTATTGCGCTTTTTTGTTTGTTTTTGAAATGTTCTCAAAATGACTAAAAAATCTTGCCAGCTTTTTGCAACTAAATATTATTTCCGTGGCCAATTATTGAGTGCGATCGTACATTTACAAAATAACACTTCTAGATTTGTTTTTCTTAATTAGTAAAAATAAACTTGTTATGTGGTAATTTATTTTATTGCTTAGTTTAAAAAAGTTAAAGTTTTTAAAAAAATGTCCGACACCTATTTCGACCCCTGACTGTATATATGTATGTATATATATATATATATATATATATATATATATATATATATATATATATATATATATATATATATATATATATATACATACATATGTATATACATATATATATAATATATATATATATATATATATATATATATATATATATATATATATATACTATATATATATATATACACACATATATATACATATGTAATATATGTATATATATATATACATATATATATACATATGTATATATATATATATATATATATATATATATATATATATATATACATATGTATATACATATATATATAATATATATATATACTATATATATATATATACACACATATATATACATATGTATATATATGTATATATATATATATATACATATATATATACATATGTATATATATATATATATATATATATATATATATATATATATATACATATGTATATACATATATATATAATATATATATATACTATATATATATATATACACACATATATATACATATGTATATATATATACATATATATATACATATATATATACATATGTATATATACATATGTATATATATATATATATATATATATATATATATATATATATATATATATATATATATATATATATATATATATATATATATATATATATATATATATATATATATATATGACACCCATTTTGACCCCTGACTGTATATATGTATATGTATATGTATATATATATATATATATACATATACATATATACAGTCAGAGGTCGAAATAGATGTCGGGCATTGGCACCCTCTCTTACCATTTCTAAGATCCGCTCTTTTTTCAAAAAAAATTACCAATGATTGGTTGCTCTCCTCAAATAAGTTTTAAAGAAGGTCCAGAGGGCACCGATTTGCAACATCGGTGCCTTCTGGACCCCTGTATATACTTAACATGTTACCTTTAAATTGTTATTACATCATTAACTGATGTAAATTAGTAATCCTTGTCAATTTTAAATTTTATAAAGTTGCTTTCAAGAACTAAACATTAACATAAAAAGCCTAACATAACTAAAACATAACATACCCCTGGAATGGCCCATTCATGTGTGTCAGTTCTTTGAATACTAACAAATTCCAATATAGGTTTGTTGTTGTCTTTATGTAGTTCGATTTTCCCATTAGAGTCACGCTTCCATCTATATAATATAAAAATAATTTGTGAAAATATACATAAATATTATTTTGAAATGATTAACAATGGCGCTCCTTAGATAATAAAAACGTAAATTTAATTAGAATTTAATTTATTTTCAAAAAAATTTACTGACTATAAGTCATGCTAGTGAAAAACTCAATGATATTTTGTTTATATGTATTGTATATTTTATGTGATATATTTTTATGTTTATTATAATTTATGTAAGCTGTTTGCGTTATAAATATTATTATATAAATATATATTGTGTATTATAGTATATATTTTTAGTGAAAATGCTCATAACAATTTTGAAATTCATTGAAATGTTCAGATTATTCATTGAAACATTCAGAATTTTCATTTTATTATTTAAAAAAAAGTTCATGTTTCTTTTTTATGAAAATGTTCAGGTTGTTTTTACAAATTCAAATTTTTTTGTATAAATGTTAACTTTTTTTTTTAACATTAAGTGTTGTAGTCATATTTGGGCTAGTTCATCTAATGATGCTTCTTCTCTTCTAGGCAAATTTAAAAACACATTGTGACTCAATCTTGCTTGACTCTTTGCTCGGAAAGCGACTCTTTGCTTGGCAAAGCCACATCCTTTTACTATCTGTTACTTCATACTCTGAAAATATTTATCTAGTTTTTTTTTTCCTTGCATACCAATGCTTCAGAACTGTCTCCCATTTTCATGTTTTCCCCACTCTATATAAAATATAGCTTTTTAAAGGGATCCCAAACTCCCCACACATGTTGTGTTCATATTAAAGATAATGTCAAAAAAAAAGGTTTGAACCAAGTTTTTTTGATTAAAAATAAATAATGAATGTATACTGAGAAAAACTAATGTTGTTGTTTTAGCCGAAGCTCGCCTTCTCATTTTTTTCAATAACTTGGAGTCTTTAAATTATACGCCACAATCTACAGACTTTGGCAATTCCTTTGAAGCGCGTTTAATTCATAAAAGTTTTAGCATTTGACGCCATGGTAGATTTTTAACAAAAGAAAAGTGTAATTTAACAAAGCTGCGTTTTTCTATTTTAATTCAAAAAAAAAAAATTTAACATACAGCAAAACAACTTTTACAACAAATTTTTGTAAAAATCAAAAATAATAAAAGCTTTTTATTTCATAGGAGGAACTTTTTTTTAACAGATATCTTAATAATTTTAGATTATATATCTTACTTATAATTCTTTTGTTTTTAAATTAAAACAAATATTAAAGCTTTACTTACGAATCTTATAATTTTCATACGAGTGTTTTACATTATATAGAACGTTATGTATACAGTTATGTATACATAACATGAGGCAGATATATACGTTATGTATATATCTGCCTCATGTTGTTAAGTTACATACTATTATTTTTACTTATGAATTTTTTTTTCCCACTGAAAGAAATATGATTAAAGTGGCACCAATGGATGGCTTCAGGTGTAAAGTTTGCTTAAGCATATAATTGGTAGAGTTTCATTATGGGGAATCACTTTTAAATTCAAGCCTGGCTTTTATATTCATTTGGATTTCTTGCTGTCTGTAGAGTTCAGTGTAAAAAGCAGTAGAATGGGATGCATAAGAACAGAGTTTTCAACTCTTTGCAATAAGTCCATCTATGATTGGAATTAAAAATAGTTCTGTTTTGATCAAAAGTTGAAGAGAGTGGTTAAGGCATCCAGCTGACTTATAACAAAAGACAAGGTTTTTACAGCTTGGTTTATTAAAGGCTGCTTTTACATATGCTGCATTGTCTCTTAAAGGGATCCCTAAGTCTCAAGTGCTAAGAAAAGTTGAGTTCATATTAAAGAAACTCAAAATAAATTTAAATTTTTTTAATTTTACTAATGCATATCAATAAAGCTAAAATTTTCATTTTAGTTGAAGCTTGCTTCCTCCATTTTTTCTTGGTTTTTGTATATACGTTTATAATATACATATAATATTATGCAATCTGCAGACTGCATAATTCATTTCATAGGTGTTTAATTCATAATTGTTTCAGTATATAACACCATTTTGGATTTTTGTTTTAAGATTTTGAAGTATTTATTTTTTGGCCACAATTAGCAAATTATATTTATTTGTATTTTTTACTAAATGCAAAAAAAATTTTTGTGACAATAAATTTTGGGATTTTAATAAAAATAAAACAATATATTTGATTCATCAATTGTGAGCATTAATTTTTAATTAATACTGTAAAATCGCCTAAGTTTGGTCACTTAAGCTTTGAACATATCTAAGGCATAAATAAACTTTTTATAATTTTTTTTTCTAAATTATACAGACAACTATATTGTTAATTTACTTTAAATGTAGCTAATTTAGAGCAAAAAGAAAAAAATGATACCAGATACAGTATATACCGGATAGGAAAATAAAATAATCAACAATGAAATATCCTCAAACAAATACATAGTGCATTTTGATGACAAAACATTAATTGAATAAAAAAAAAGGAAAAACAGTTAAAAATAATAGATAGGCTGTTATTGTAAAATTGTTTCAGAAACATCAAGGTAATACCAACTAGTTGTCTTAACACAACTGTTGCCTTGTAGTGTGTTTTTTTAGTATGCTTAGTTGCTATTGTGTAGCTCTAGTGATATATATATATATATATATATATATATATATATATATATATATATATATATTTTAGTTATTCACCTCCTCAAGGCCGAGAAGGAGGCTACTTAATAGTGGTTATAACCCTCTCTCAACTCTATAACTCCAAAACACAAACCTTGACAAACAAGGCTGCTGCGCGGATATATAATGAATAAATTACATACAACGAATAAACATAAATAATTTGGGTTAAATAAGTGCGAATAAGTTACACTTATGCCAGTTCATGCTTATTCAATCATCCCAAACAATTACATGCAACAAATAAAAATAAAAAGCATATATGTTAAATAACTATTATAATTACAGTTTTAAATCTTTTATAATTAGTTTTGAATTAAATTTTTTATGTTACCGAGTAACAATTGGATCAGCAGCATGATTTGGTCCCCATCTCCCTAAAAGACCACGTCCAGAGATTCCCGTTCTTCCCATAGGATTTCTAAATCATAAAACTCTGTGTACTATTTCAAAAAACTTTATTACTTATTATCTCCTATTTACCTTGATACTTCATCACTCATTATCTATAATTTAACTTGGTACTCCATTACTCATTATCTCCTATTTACCTTGGTGCTCCGTTACTCATTATCTCATATTTTCCCATGTGACTAATGCGATTGACCTTGCCATCTAACTCATTAAATTTTATTTCTTTAAATGCTGGATCACTAAAAAATATAAAATAGTTTACAAGCTGGATCACTAAAAATAAAAAAATAGTATACAAATTACTTGAACAACAACTTGAAATTAATTCAATATTGATTATTACTTTTATTATTTATGTTCTTGAAAAACTTGAAGAATAAACTAGAAAGAGAAAATTTAGATGTTATTATATTTAAAAAACCAGACTGGGAACAAAATGTTATCAGTGCATAAAAAAAATAAAACAATAAAACATGCCTTCAATTATCTGTTTACAATAAAGCTCTTATATAGTTTGATGGTTAGAACATAACTTAAATATGCAGGAAATGTATGCCCATCTTGAAATAAATATATTGACATGAGCCTTGGAAAAAAATTTATTAATTTATTGAGGTATTTATGCAATGATTGAAGTATTTATGCAATGAGCTACAAAGGTTAAAACACTGAAAAGAATGAATCAGAATGCTAAGAAGAACGCGTTGAAACACACAAGGAATTAGTTGAAACACTGAGAAGAATGGGTTAAAAAGTATTAAGTATGAAAGAAGAGGAGAGGCAGTGACATATTAGTGACATAAACCTAGTACTCAAAGGTTATTATAGATAAAAATTTTAAACACTTACTCAAGATCTGGATCAGCCCACACTGGCATCTTCTTTACTGATTCTGCAGTGTAACAAACTGGAGCATAAGAATCAAATTTTTTATTCCAATCTACTAGATCATCAGAAACAGAGAATCTTTTGAGTTGATCATTAAGTGGGTAGGCACCACGACACTTGGAATGAACCTTGACTGGTAAGACATCATCATTGAAGTTTGCTGTTAAGACTAAAAAAAATAAAAAAACTTTAAAAGGTTTAATTGTTTATTTCAGAAACTTTAAAAAATGTAATAGCTTTTTTTGAGTTTTTTTTAAATCTTATAATATACATGCTATTATTTTTCCTTATTTTTATTTTTTTTTATTTTTTTAAATAAAGCATTATTCATTTAATAAAAAAAAACTAACTCAATATATTAACTACAATACTGTTAAAATTATATATCACGGTGTTTCCAAAAAATTATGCACAGAAACTTGTATATGTTTTGTCTATTATTTTCATAAAAATTAAACTGGCAATTTCCAATTTGCTCTCAATCAATTCTAATCTATATAAATATTTTGTAAACAAAAAAAGTATAATGTTATCAACGAATAAATAAAATTACTAGATAAATAAACTTTATTTCCTCAGAAAATGTACATTTCGGAAGTATACTTTTCTTTTAAAATAATATTTTAAATATAAGTAAAGATTTCCAGAAAGTTACAGGATTAAACTATCTATCATATTTCACTCCTGTAACTTTCTGGATTATCAGAGTCAAAGCAATCATTTAAATGCAGTGCATGAATGGTCATGCACGGAAGTCACGAACAGAAGTTGCAAATTTGTCGATTTCATGTAGTTATTTTTATGTAAATAAATTGCTTGTGAATATTTCAAGTGAAATATTATATTTTTATAATTCATTCTTATATAATATATATATACAACTCATATAATATATCTTTGATGAGAATGGCAATCATCAAATATTTCTAGCTAGAGTATAGCATTTTGAAAACTATTGTATATTTCTGAAACTATATACATTTAATTTATTCAGGTAGCCTAAAATATGATAAAAATGTTTTTGTTATAATTATCCTTTTTAACATTAACAAATTAACTTTGATTAAACAACTATGTTAAAAATAACAAAAAACTATTTTTCAAATAATAGTAGAAATAAGTCACTGTTAAACTTTTCATTGTCATAGTGTTAAAGTTAATTTCATTAAGTTACTTGTGATTGGTTTCTTGATCAAATCAACTTAAATTCAGCTGTTAAAATACCAGAGTCTTGGTCAAGAAAATATTGTTCCAGCTATTTAACTTCTAATAATTAAAGCAATTATATTTAAAATTTAAAATCATTTTTATCTATTTTTGCGCTCCTTGTTTAGAACTCAAAAAAATCAAATTTTTGATTTAAATTGAATTATTTTGATATATATTTAATTTCTCTACATTTTTGAAATATAAACTTTTACTGACATATAGTTAGTTAAAAAAAAGAAAACTGATAAAGTTAAAATATATTATAAAATCACAATTAAATCAATTTAAACATTTTAAAATCTTTTTTAATGCTTATTATTTACAAAACTCAATCAGTCTCTCACAAGCAAAGAAAATTGAAACTCACAAGTTTTAATTTTCTTTGCTTTTTGATTATTTATTTTAAATAGAAAAACCAATTTGCTCGCTTTCTTAATTTCAAGTAGAAATCTAATTTGTTGTCTCAGTTTTGATACACCTGCTATGTTATTGGTTATTACACTGCAAACTTTACAACTTAATTGTTTTTCACATTTATTTATAAATTAATATCAACCAAGTAATCAGAAGTATGTGAATGGCTGGATGTATCAATTCTATCTGCATGATAGATATCTGAATTCATCGTTGATACTGTTGCACAAGCAATCGGTTCTTCATGGACATTGTTTTACCCATTAATACTCATGGTTATGGAATGATCAAAAAAGCAACCTGAACAGCTAGTTAAGCTATTCTTGTGGATAGTATCTAGTAATTTTCTATCAATATTAATTCTATTAAGAGGGTTATATCCTGGGCGTAAAAATTTGATTATTTAAATAAACTCTAGATAGTCTACCATCCTAAGAGATGAGTAAGTAGCATAAATCATTTTATGGTGATCTGATATTACATCAGTCATCTGCACATCTGTTTCATCATTTATCTGATCTGCTCATCAATGTTTCTTTTTCAAACTTTGTGGTTTTAATAAGGTGTGAATTCAATTTAGCTGACATCATCTTGCCACAACTTACTCTTGCCACTGTCTTTTTATGTAAACATAAAAATTAGCTTTCCCTACTGTATATGTATATACTGTATAAAACTATACTAAATTTAGTTTTCTCAATAGAAGATTGATTAGTTTGTGCTTCCTTAGTTGCCTGGTTGATATTTTTTACAGTGTTTTAACAAATATTATTGTTCTTATCATCTCTAATAATAATCTAAATTTTACATTAACCAACACTTTTGTGGTTTTGCATTTAAGCTAACTTTAAATTTGCACATTGCAACTTTTGCATTTAGTTTTATTACCGTTTTTCCCAAACTTTGTAGGTATTTCATCAAACTCTGTTAAAACTGCATCTCTTTTTTGACCAGCACCAGACATTTTTATTTTAAGTTATATTGTATTTATTTCAACTAAAAAGTAACTAGTAATGAATGATTCATTTTTTTAAATTTCTTGAAAAAAATAAACTTGAATATATAATTCTTATATGAAAGGAATTTATTTGTATTTATTTATATAATTAGCAACAAAAATAAAAATTAATGCAATTAGTCAATAGGTTAAAATATGAAACGAAAGATTTACTTAAATGGATGAAACTCTTACAACAAATTAAAAAATATATAACTAACTATATAGCTAATATATATATATATATATATATATATATATATATATATATATATATATATATATATATATATATATATATATATATATATATATGTATATATATATATATATATATATATATATATATATATATATATGTATATATATATATATTATATATATATATATATATATATATATATATATATATATATATATATATATATATATATTATATATATATATATATATATTTTATATATATATATATATATATATATATATATATTCTATATAAATATATATATATATATATATATATATATATATATATATATATATATATATATATATCAACCCTCAGAATTAGGAAAAATGAATTTTGACATTACTTTTAATTCCTTGCATATAAATCTGACAGAAGAGAGATCTTGTGATTGGGTAGGCTAAATCATTTTATTCAACATTTGATCACTCTCAAACTCAGTGAAATAACTTTAACAAGTTTTTGAAAAATATGTTTTTAGATTAGCTTTAAGTCATTTTCTTATGAAAAAATGAATAGATTCTCATTAACCCATCTTTCCGAAAGTATAGCTTAATTTTTAAAGTGTACAAGTAAACTACTTTTGTCATTACTCCCTCTATTTTCACCTGTAGTCTAACCAAAACAGCCCCTCACCTTAACACTACATCCACCATGTTTTACAGTCAATAGTACACACTATTTTATCATAAATTCAACAATTTTTGTTGTTGTTTTGTCTTTAGTATTTTTATTATTCTTATGATCTTTATCAAAGCATTTTAACCAAAATACTTTTAAATGATCTAATAGTGTAAAAATAAACATAATTAAATAAAAAATTGCATTTTAAAAAAAGATAATTCTATTTGAATAATTATGAACAGTAGTGTATATATAAATATATAAATATATATACATATATATATATACACATAAATATAAATATATGAATATAAATATATTTATATATATATATATATATATATATATACATATATACAACCCTATACCAGTTTAGTGCTATATAAAACGAGATTGATGACATCATACTGATAAAGGATAGGCAGGAGCCATAATATATACATTAGCTGTATGGTTAATATGGGTGCTTTTTATTTATATACATTTAAATAGCTGTTTTTGAAACACCACTAACGGTATTATAACAAAATAGCTATCCACAGAAGCTTTTGTACAAATATTGACTGGGAATTTGAAAAAGTAGTATATTTGCAAAAAATACATTTATTTTACAAAAATATTTTTCTTTTGTTAATCTTTTTTTCTATGAAATCTAAACTAAAGTCAACATTAAAAAAAAATGTCAAGACATAAGCAAACAGATTTTGCTTAGTAGAGTAAGGAATTTAGATCTGCATTTATAGATACTTCTGTATTTTTGATTACAGATTATAAGTAAATTTTCTTATAATACATTCATATTTATTAGCTGCCTATCCTCTTCAGTATTGTGTCATTGATGACATAAATCAGCAATAAAAAAAAATTTCATGAAATCTGTACCAGGTTCATATCTTTGACAACAACAACAACTATAACAGCCAAAGAACCTCAGTAACTTCCGTAAACGCTCCATTTTACTTTGAATTAGATAAAGTAACTATTTAATAGATTATCTAAAAATTAATATAAACATTATTGCTAAATTAGATGCTTATATTTAATGGCAAGTGTATTTTCTAATAAATACTTTTGTTTGATCTTTTAATTAGTTGATTTAGAAAAAAAAGGTTAGCAACAATAAAATATAAATATTGGAAGATTAACAATGAGACAAAATTGTTTGCGGTTTGTGCAAGATGTCAACATGATCAACTCAGGTTTCCATTAAAAAAAAAAGTTTATATTTTCTATATATTTTGGTTTCAAATTTTTGATTAAAAATACAGAAAAAAACAAACAAACAAAAAATAATTTTTGCAAATAATCTTAAAAATTTATACAGTCTTTATATACTTTGATAACATATAACAATATACAACATATACTCTTATATATATATATATATATATATATATATATATATATATATATATATATATATATATATATATATATATATATATATATATATATATATATATGCATATATATATATATATATATATATATATATATATATATATATATATATATATATGCATATATATATATATGCATATATATATATATATATATATATATATATATATATATATATATATATATATATATATATATATATATATATGCATATACATATAAATAAATTGTATCTGTAACCAATTTTTCCATCACTAGTAAACACTTATTTAAATAAAGATAACACTGAAAGAATCACAAGTGAATCAAAGAACACATGTAGTTCTTTGTTTTAAATTTTTCAATACTCAAGCATATTTTAAGTATTAAAAAATTAAAACTAAATCAAATGGAGAGTCTTTATCCTCTTTGATATGAATACAATCTTGTAATTGAGTCAGTTCACTATAAAATGATAACAAATGATTTTATAGTGAATAACATTTTATCGTGAATATTTTTCAAGTATTCTATGAGAAAGTGGGACAGGCTTGTAACCCACTACCTCAGATTTTTACCTAAATATTAATTATTTTCTAAAATTTCAGTACTATAAATTGATTTCTAGATAAGATTACTAAAAACCAGCTATTTTAGTGATTTTTTTTATTTTTCAACCATCTTAGTAACGATTGTAAAACAACTCATGGAATTAAGTTGAAAATTTTAATCACCATAGTTTTGAAGATGAAGAACATGAACTTGTTTATTTTAGAAACAATGGGAACAAAATCAAAATGGACATGGTACTTCACCTAGAATTTTTAAGGGAAAATGTAAAAGATCAAAAAAGAATGCCTGGGATCTAAGGTAGCATTACATTTTGATAATTTTTTTTCTTCAAATAAAATCATACAAAAAACTCGACAACAAAAAATCAATACAAGTCATTTCATATGTTCTTAAAAGAGATTCAATTAAACCTTATGAAATTTGCGCTTATTCAGTCATCCCGCAATAAACCCATAATTCACAGCCTTAAATTTCATTTATTTTCCAAGGGATGTGGAGTTATCTATTTTTATATATCTTTTTTTTTCCTGGTCTCTGGTGTCCAGAAGCTCTAAAATATTGAGTAATTTATGATCTGCAATAATGATATTTAATGACTTAATATTTAATGACTTAAAAAACTATTGCATTTATCTCGCAGTCCAGGAGTTCTTATTGTCATTATACATAATAAAAATTTCCATGAGCCAGTCAGGGAACACATAGTTCATTCATGGGAATGCAGGTTAATCAAACAGTTATCCTAAATTTCTGAAAACTGAAAAGCTATTATAAAATAAAGGAGTGATCAAGTTGATAATGAAGCAATTGAGTGCAAACAGTGGAGTACGACAACAGAGCTTTTAAGATTTCTTTTACTTCTACAGTAAATGAATTTTAAATTATTTTTTTGTGAAAAGCTTGATATAACAACATTCATACCTTACATTACCAAAGCGCATGGTAAATATTTAAAGAAATTAAAGTCATTCATCCAGAACCATCCCAAACCATGAGGGATTTAATTCATTTATGTGGGAAAGCAGAATAGTATCGAAAAAAAAATTGCTCGAAAAAAACAGATCATTGCAACCAAATTGTTCAAATCTAACCTTTAACATTTAATTGTGGTTTTTAAAAAAACTTTTCGTAAATTAAATATTATCTCTTGCAAAATTCTCATTACCCTTCAGACAATATTATTATTACAAAATAATTGTTATATACAGGGTGACCACAAAGTATCCGCACACGAGACGGTTTCATCTTGTGAAAATATAAGCATAAAAGCACTATTTTCTTATTTATTTGTTGTTTTTGGTTAATATTATGTCATAAACTTTATATACTTTACTTTATATACTTTGTAAACTATGTTCAATTGGTTTTTTTAGAATGGTGCGCGTTTCTCCTTATCGTCAACTTTTCTCAATGGCCGCCATCGAGCCCCGATCTTAACCCGATGGATTTCTCAGTCTGGAGCGTCCTAGAAGCAAAGGCATGCCAAAAGCCGCATAAAAATATTGAAAGTTTGAAAAAATCACTACTGAAAGCTTGGGATTCTCTGGACCCTGCCTACTTGCTCGCCACCGTCGAAGCATTCCCGAAATGCCTACAGGCCTGTTATTTTGCTGATGGAGGAAAATTGGAATTCAATCTTTGAATCATAATTGTTATAGTTCAATAAATGTTTTAAAATAAAATTTGTGTTCCAAATACTTTCTACATGCTTTTTATTAAGCTCTTTATCTGTGCGGATACTTTGTGATCACCCTGTATATATATATATATATATATGTTAAGTATTTGATATACGAGGTGTCTTCAAAAATTAAGGTGACTTTGTATTTTTAAGAAAAAATATTTATTTATCAATATTTATTTTGTCCCCTTCAAAGTAATCCCCTTCAGATACAATACACTTATGCTAACGGTTTTTCCTATCCTCAAAGCACTTCTCATAAGCACTTTTTGGTAAAGCCTTGAGCTCTTCCAGCGATGCAGTTTTTATCTCTTCAATCGTTGCAAATCTCTGTCCTTTCATAGGTCTCTTTAGATTCGAGAACAAGAAAAAGTCACATGGGGCCAAATCCGGTGAATATGGTGGCTGAGGCATGATTTTGGTGTTGTTTTTGGCCAACAAATCTCTCACAAGCAAAGATAAGTGAGCAGGGGCATTATCGTGATGCAAAAGCCATGAATTGTTTTTCCACAATTCTGGACATTTTCTTCGTATTGCTTCTCGCAAATGACGCATAAATTCAAGATAATACTGTTTATTGACCGTACAACCGTATGGTAAAAACTCCTGATGCACCACGCCATGGTAATCAAAGAAAACATTGAGCAAAACTTTGACATTTGATTGAACTTGGCGTGCTTTTTTTGGTCTTGGCTCACCTGGGCTCTTCCATTGGGACAATTGGGCTTTGGTTTCGATATCATAACCATATAACCATGATTCGTCACCAGTTATGACCTTTTTGAGTAAATCTGGGTTGTCGTTGACGTCATTCAACAGTTCTTGAGCGATGCTCATGCAACGGTTCATTTGGTCAAAATTGAGCAACTTTGGGACAAACTTTGCTGACACACGTCTCATGCCTAAAACGTTAGAAAAAATTTCATGGTATGAGCCAAGCGATATACCAACATCATCAGCGACTTCTCAGATAGTGATTCAATGATTTTCCAAAACAATTTTCTTCACTGCTTGAACATTTTCATCAGTTGTTGACGTGGTTGGGCGTCCAGAGTGAGGCTCGTTATTGGCATCTTCCCGGCTATCTTGAAAGAGTTTGTACCACTTTTAAACATTTTTTTTACTCAGAACAGTTTCACTGTATGCCACTGTCAACATTTCAAGTGTTTTGGAGCACTTTATTTTATTTTTGACACAAAATTTGATGCAAACCCTTTGATCCATATTTTTTAATAGCAAAAAATCGCTGAGCACGCAAAACACTTATAACCTTTACGCCTCTCACAACCAAACAAAAAATGCCATACACTTGAAACTTGGTACAGATGTTTGGTAAGAGTGTACCTACATGACAAAACAAAAAAATCGATAATTGAAAGTACGTTGCCCGCGAAATTAAAAAAAAAAAAAAAGTCACCTTAATTTTTGAACACACCTTGTATTATTATAAAAATTTTGTTATATATATATATATATATATATATATATATATATATATATATATATATATATATATATATATATATATATATATATTAAATATAGTTATACATTTATGCAGTCATGGCGCAGTGGTTAGAGTTCTGGCTCAGAACCCGAAGGTTTGTGGTTCGATACCACCTCTAGCAATTAAGCAACATTATTAAGCAACCTATTAAGCAACCTATTAAGCAACCTTGGAAGTAAGCGAGAACTTTCTGGTTAAATGCTCACTAAAACTTACTAAAACTCTTACTTCTTCTACATCAGACCTACCTGATTATTACTTTCTTAACTAGATCTTATTTTCCTACCTGCTGAAAAATGGTATAGGTGGTTATAATTTTTTAAAACTCTAGAGTTTGCTTGACCCTTCAAAATATCTCCCACCCCTGCCTCAAATGCACTTACAAAGTATGGAGTATTCCAGTCAAAATCTTATATTCAAGGATTATATCCTTTTAATTTATCCAATATTGTAACAACAAAGACTTCAGATTTATGCTAAAACATTCAGGTGAATGTTTTAGCATAAAGTCATTTAGAATTGTTAAGTCATTCAAAGTTATGTAAAAAAGACTCCATCAATTAGAAAAAAAAATTATTTAATTTTAAAGATGATTGTTGTAATTGTTCAATGTAATAGAAAGTGCAATAATGGTCAAGCTAAATTAAAATTTAGGTCTACCATGGTCTATTTTCTCAGATAGATAAAACTTGAAAAACAATCACCATTTTGATTCAGTTCCAATTATTTTTATGAAATAAACATAATACTCAGATTTTCCTTATCTATATAAATTTTATGTTTTTTTTTCCTTCTGATCAACAATCTTTAAAACAACACCAAAATTAGAAAAAAAAAATTATTAAATTTTGAAGATGATTGTTGATAGCAACCAAAAAAAAATCCCTTAAAGTAGTATGAAGTAACATACCTCAAAACAGATTTGATAACAGTACTAAAATTTTACAAGGTGATCTATGTGGTTTACGTTACTATTTTGACAAAGTATGAAGAAAATTTGGGAAGGTGTTACATTGAAAAACTTGTTCTATTTTCTTATGGAATACTCCAGGTTTGTTTGAAGTTGTAACTAAACAAATATAGGCAACTTCACTTCAATCCATTACCAGAGTAAAATCGAGTACCTAAGTACTTAAGTAAAATCAAAATATTATTCTGTAGAAAACAGATGTTTTTATTATGTTTTATATAAAATAATGAGGAAAAACTATAACCAAAATATTTTATATATGCTACTTTTTATAAAATAAAGTAGACTAAATTATTTTAAGTTAAAGTTCACACTTTAACAACTTTATTATTAACTTTTATTCCTAATATAAAATTTAAGTATAATTGGTGTGAAAAAATAAAATTTATAAGAAGTTTTACAAAAAAAGATTAAGCAAATAATTAAATAAAAAATATTAAACCTTTGTTTTTAAATTCCACATTTTTCCTTCTAGACATACAAGAGCAAAAAAGACCCATTTGTAATAAAAAAAAAACAATTTTTAAATTATGCAATAAAAAAAAAAAAATATCAACTGATAATTAGTTGTGTAACGTGTTTACCCTTATCCAAAGGTAAATATACATAAGTACGTATATAATTTTGTAAACTATCAACCAAATAATAAATGCCAAAAGGATTAGCACATTAAATGAATATGTGTGTGTGTGTGTGTATATATATATATATATATATATATATATATATATATATATATATATATATATATATATATATATATATATATATATATATATATATATATATATATATATATATATATATATATATAATATATATATATATATATATATATATATATATATATATATATATATATATATATATATATATATATACATTTAACAATAATAATAATATAAATAACAATATAATAATAATAAATAATAACCGGTTTTATTAGGACTTGAATTGAAATGATGCTTAAGGAAAATTAAACAAATGTAAAGAATGTATAGAAAAAATACCTTTATTTTGAGCCATTAATATCGTTATGTTTTTAGTCTACACAGATTGTTTTTAAAAAAGATATTTGAAACCTTTAAAAAAAATAGATATAATGAAATATTTATTTTAGGAGTTCGACTTGCTTGTTGCTTAGTAGAGAATAATAAATATCTTTAAAGTTGCGGCTTTAAACTAATAAGCAAACAAAAGAAAGCATGCAAAGTTTTATATTAACCAAAACTTAATTAAAAAAGATTATATTCATAAAGATATTTTACAATTTTTTTATTAATTTAAATTATTTAAACAGTAAGAAAATTAATTGGATTGTTTTTTTCTTAAAAGACTTTTTTTTTTTCTTAAATTTAGTTTTTTGATTTGTTTTAGTAAAATGTAACAACTTATGATTGAGAGACTCTCATAATCAAATTACTTGATATCGCAAAACCATTTCTTGTTTTATTTTTAAACTTACTAAACAATATATATTTAACGAATACAATATAATATAAAACATTTCTTTGTTATGATTGAAATTTCGCAACTTCAGCTCATTGCATATCCGTTTATAAACCGAACAAAGATCAAAAGAGGGCGTTTTAATCATGATACATTTATTATCGCAGTAAAATATTTTTAAATAGATCAACTTGTTTATTTGCAATTGAACTTTAAACTTTTATTTTATGTACTTTTTTTCATATTTTAACCAGCTGATGATACTGGTAACCATACTCTAGGTAAAATTATATGCAATGTAAAATAAGTTATTATAAATTTACTGAATATTGTTTTCAACTTCGAGGTTTAAGTTTACTTTAATGTTTTTAACAAATGAAATTGAGATATAATTCTTCCTAAATTAACTTAGAAATCATTCTTACACTTCTTCGTTACGGCTTATTTGTTTTTAACACCGTATTTTGATTCTTGCTAAGCTGGATTTGCAATAGTTTTAAGAATGTCGTACGCATAACACAACAACTATGTTTTATCATGGTAACATTTTCTTGCGTAAGTTATCTCGGTTGTACAATAAAGTTTATGTTGTTGTCAGTGACAGATCCAGAACTTTTTGTTGTTTGAGCTAATTTCCAGACATGGCGTGACCTGAGTGCTTATTTATTTCAACTGCATTTTAAAATGTTAAAAGAACTTTTCCGCGTTAATATCTAAAAATAAAATAAAATTTTTTTATTTTTTTAACTTTTTTTCTTATAACCCAGTGGGCACCAGACCTAAAAAAGACGTCTTTTGAACGTTCAAAAGACGTCCAAAACGTTCAAAAGACGTTCAAAAGATGTCCAAAACGTGAATAAGACGTTTAAAAGACGTCTTTTTTACGTCCGTGCCCACTACGAAATATTTAGTAAATTTAATAGCTAATAATATTTTCAATAGTTATCATCAAAAATTAAAATTTATTTCATAAATACTTGTTACCTTTATAAGGTCAAAGTTTTTAAAAACTTTAAAATAGAGATGGAATAAATAAGTACTAGGGTCGCGATGAAGCAAACTCCAAACATTTCTATGTTTACACTTATATCAAATAATGAAGTTTTGCAAAAAATTGCGATGATTAGAGGCTGGGAACAAAAAAGCCCTTTGACTTTATTCCTCCACCCCCGCCCCAAATGTGAGGGGCAACAAGTTAATAAAATATTTTTTGTACTATTTTTCAAATAGACTTATATTTGTAGGTAAATTTTAAGTTTCATTGTATTATCTCTTAGCTTTCAAAAATTGTGACCTTATAAAATTTGTAACCCCCTAAAATTGTTAATTTTGGTTAAAAATTTATATGATCATAAATTTTTAAATGCTGAGAGATAATACTATGAAACTTAAAACTTATTAACTAATACAAATCTAGTTGAGAATAGTACAAAAAATATTTTATAAACATGTTGCCAACATTTCTACAATTATTGGAAATCAAGCTTAAAGTTTGGTTTCCAATAGTTAAAGGAATGTTGAACAACTGTTGCACAATAACTTTGTTCCATTATGGAAACATTTTCTAGTACAATTAAACGTCAGTTGTACAACAGAATTATTGCAAAAACTGCTTTGTTTCTATATCCGCATCAACTATGTCTTACAACAAATATTTTATTACACAACAAACAGTTGTGCAACTTAACGTAAGAAAATGTTTTCAATATAAAACAGTTGCGCAAAAAGTTGTACAACTTGTTGCGCAACGTTCCTAAAACTATTGGAGACCAAGCTTTAAGATATTTTGTATATTGAGTCAGGTAATTTCAGTTGGAATGGTGCGCTACTCTCAGTTGGAATGGTGCGCTACTCAAGGCCAGCTGGTTTGTAGGGTAAACCTAAACAAGTTAGTAAATTAAATTTTTATAGCATATTATAACCAACTTAAATTTATTCACAGGTTTTAAATAATTTTTTAGTGTTCGAAAGTTATAACAATGTGAAAATTAAAATTTACCTCATTTTGGGCACCGAAATTTTACATAGTTATAATTTTTGAACGTTAAAAGATTATTAAACAAAACTTAAAACCTGTTGGTAAGTTTAGTATAATATGCTTAAATATATATTTTATGAAACTCAACATCCTCACATTCGGGGTAGAGCAAGCGAAATTTTCGGGGTATTCATTAGCTCCCAAACTCTAAACGCCGCAATTTTGTATAAAAAATTATCATTTGACATAAGCATGAACATACTTAAGTTTGCCTTAATTGTGCAATGCCTTAATTGTGCAAATTCCAAATGTGTCATTTCTGAAACATCAACAGAGCCTCCCCACGCTACAGATTACATGATATATAACAAGCTTATACCCATAAACTACAAAATAAGTTATAACACAAAATAAACACTGGTTAAAGCGTTTTTGATGAATCAACATTAGGCGTTACTTAGTTACTAGTAAATAACACTTAATATTGTAAGCTTTTACTCAGTTTAATACTGTGAACCTCAAAAATGTTGTGTGTTTATTTAAGAAAATAAACAACTCATTAGTTTTTAGTACTACGTATGTAATATTGGAAGTCTTTTGAAACAAATGCGATAACTGTTTAAAATAAGTTTAATAAAGAAAAAAAATACTTCTAAAAGCAGATAGAATTTAAGTTTGAGCTTGTTTTAATTGCATATTATCTTCTTGTCCACATCAAATCCCTTCTTATGAAGACCGGAGAGCAACTAAAACCTAAAAAATTATCTACGTACTTTATAAAAAAAAAAGTTCGTGAATTAATATTTAAGAAACAAAACTTGTATTGGAAATATCATTGAAGATATTCAAATTATAATAATTTATTTGAATTTAGGTAACCTTAAAAATTTCTTACAGTTATAAAGTTATGTTTATAATTATTATTGTTAACTATATTAATATTTATAGTTATAAGTTCTTATAATTATAAAGTTTTAAACATATATGATGAAAACTAAGAAATATTAAGTATATTATTTTAATGTATTTTTATCTTGCTTATCAATTTTCATCATTTCGACAAATTCTTGCTTTGAATACTCGATGCTAGTTAAAAGTGGAGTCATGTACGGTGTTATGTTCGGTTTTATTTGTTTTCGTGTATTTGGTTGTTTTTCTCTTTAAGTGAGATTTTGTAGCATGTTTCTTTAATGTAGAAACTAAAATCTTTTGATATAGACTTACATGTTTAAAATTAAAATATTTCAAAAGGTTATTCAACTAAATTTGTTTATTTATAAACCTTATTTGTTTATTTATAAACCTTATTTGTAAAAATTTTATTAAGTAGTTGTTTTGTTTATTTATTAGTTTTATTCAACAAAAAAATTTGAAATTTATACGACAGTGTGCTTCAGACTAAAAAATACTTACAAATGATATTTAAATTAACATTACATAATACTTTGTAAATGCAGCTGGAACTTTGTATTTAACTTACAAAACTTCAGAAAACATCGTGTACCAAAACCTATTACTTTACGGAATGATTTTTTTTAATACAAAATGTAAATAAGTAATTTATTTGAATGTCCAATTTAAATAAACTGCTACACCCTGATAAGCATTCCGATTATCTTTTTTGTATTAATATTATATGTTTTTACATTAGGAAGAGTATTTAAAAATATGTTAAGCCATATTGTTGATTGAAAATTATTTTAAGCGTTGTACAATATAATAAACTGTATATTATTTGCTAATTATATGAAAATCAATAGTTTTCAAAATGGATTATGTGAGTGTTGTGTGTTTAAGCTTTATCAAAAATCCAATCAAAGATCTGCTAACATTAAAATTTTAATGAGTTTTTGTAAGTTAAAAAAAAAAAAAAAAAAAAATTCAATCGTTTCAGATTGTTGTATTAATGTGAAGTTTCATTAAACGTAATGTAGTTTCAGCTAAGTTAAAAGTTTAAAAATTGTGATAATATGAAATAAATTAGCTTTACAATAACCAAATCATAAGTTATTTTTTAAAAAAGAGTTTTTTCATTGGTTTATTATTTTATTGGTTATATATTAAAGAATCCCGTACTTTTTTATTAATTTTAAAAAGGTCAGCGCCAACAATTTTTATGTTTTTTTGCGGTATAAATTAAGAGTGGATATTTTTAAATTTATCTAAATAAAAGAAAGATTTACTTATTAACTACAACTCTATATTTTTAATGCTATAGGAACACCACTTTTTTTTTTGTCACAGTTTAATCATAAGCCAGCCAAGACCTAAGATATTAGCCTTGTATTTTAGTAATCGCGGAGAAGCAAATAAAGTCTTTTAGGTTTTCTTAAAATTAATTTCTCATATTAAATGCTAAAAGAAAAGAGAACACATTAGTCATCTCTAATTTAATCTCTTAACAAATAGATAGCACCTCCATTATACCTTTTATTTGTAACTGTACTAAATTCTAACTGTACACATTCTATGGATTTAAAGGCAGTTTCATCACCATGGAATGTAGACCGCTAAAATATTTCATTTGAAATATGTTCTGCAAGCTTATTTATCAAAGTATTTTAGTTTTTTATTATCGATTGGCAGTTAAAGAAATTTAATGATAATATTAATGATAATAAAATAACAAAAATAATAATAAAGCAGCACTTTATTATTATTTTTGTTAAACAGGAGTAGCTGGACCTGACTTGTCAA